GTTCCAGAAGACTAGACGTGCTGGTGCACGAGCCTAAAGGAGTAGTAGTAGGGTCGTTCGGTGGCTTTGAGATTTTGATGAGGACGAGTCCTCAAAACAAACACAATTCATGGTATCCAGTGGCCGTTCTACTCCTGGAATTTCGCACCTATCGGCATCACGACATGGTATCGTAATAGATCCAGGTTTGTCCCTTGCTCATTGCTTCTCACACACACTATATTACCAGCATTTGCGGTTCCCTAGTTTACCTTTATGCACAACTTATTTAATTACATCACTTTTCCATTTGAAATGCAGACACATTTGTGTCCTTCTTGATTTGTGCAGAACTCACCCTTCCTCAGCATGCGCAACTACATGCAGTCGACCCCTACGCAGTGAACATGACTTGGCAGCCTCCAGCTAAACCTTACAACCCCCTTACTGGCTACACTATCGAATGGATGCTTGAGGATTATTGGCAGGAGAGGTTGCTGCCTCCATCACGGCTCTTTTACACTTCCTCTCGACTTACACCAGGCCAGTCCATTTCGGCTGCAGTTCGTGCACACAATCTCCCCAACACTTCCATGATATTCGATTACATCGGTGAGCGTAGCACACACATAACAGCCACTACGCCAACGCGTTAGATACCTTCATCTCTCCTACTCTTTCCCTTAACGACCACTCAACAATGCAACACTAACTCAATCCCTTTAAAGCATCCTCGCAGTCACCTTCATTGATTATACCTCACCCCACCTTTCCTCCTTATGCTTCGCCCTAAAATTTGACTTGTTGACACCAAGTAATGCGTTGCCAGTGCTAAACTCCGAAGCTGTTCATAACTCAGTGCCTGAAAGCATAGTGTGGAGGATGGGCCACGTCTTGTTTAGTAGATATGCAAGCACCAACTGCTGCCTTTGGGCAATCGGAAAGTGAGATTTTATAAAGGCTTTAAGATCTGCAGCCACCTGGTTCAGAGGTTAGTATGAGCATTAACTGTAAATGTGTCAAGAAGTTGGGCGATTATTTTCACAGTCAGGATGAGTGGACTGTCGATCACAAAATTTGCACCCACGTCCTAATCACATGGGCTTCAAAAACACGGCCGTTGGATCGAGCCTCGGTTACCCACGTATCATTTGACGCATCAACGTTGCCGAGATAAATTTTGTATTGCGAAGCAGGGCGGTAGTTATTGTACGCTTTGCAGCAACTTTAATGGTGCAAACAATAGCGGAGAAGAAGACGAGTAGTGAGGAACATGGTCAGTGGTGTAGACTCTCCTCCCCACTACCAACTGAACGGATGCTCGGTGGTGGCAAAGGAGACTGCGCGCTGTCAATGGGCAACGTAACCTGGTGGGTCAATGTGAGCAAGGCTTAAAGGGAGACAAGTTCGTCCCTGCACCAAAACAGGGAGCATCAACATGTGGCGCAATGAAGAAAAG